CCCTACACACAATGAATTCACTCTGTCCTCAGTGGTCTGCACATATTAATTACAATACGGGAGCTATACAAGTGTCACTGTATCACACACTCCCAATTATTACTCAGTTATCATGAACTATCACTGATTATCACACGCGTCCGGTTCTTCTATCCGCGACTGCTGCTATACTCCAACTCAACTCGTAGACTGCTGCCTTGAGAACTCACATCGGCGGCTGATACACTTTAACTCGTTAACTGCTGGCTAACTCGTAACTCTCCGCTGGCTAGATTCCAATTGTGTTGCTCTGGCTCACACACTAACTCTCGCTTGCTGCTCAGCCGGCTTTTATCCCGTTCGCTGTTGTCTGTTGCCCGTGTCAACAGCGGCGTTGCATGCCACGTCACAGTACGGGGAGGGTGCTGACTCGCCTGCTACGTCACCGTGGCCAGAACTGCTACCTCACCGCTGAGGAGGGAGGGGATGTCCTCCATTGCGCAACACGTCACAATATATTAATTATATTTTTATTATTTACCAACAGTATCTCCACCAAGATTATTATGCTTACTGTGATCTGCTAACTGTCAGCAGTGTGTAAATAAATAAACACCTGCTTCAGCTTCTAAACCTTATCTAGTTATCAAAGACGTATAGCTGTGTTAGTGAGGCGGTTGCCTACATGTTGCGGAGTAGGAGTCATAGTTCTTCCCTCAGAAAAGTGGCTCTCCATATCAGAGTGAGTCATAGCACCAGTGTGCCCTCTAGACCAACATAGGAAAGTATCAACAACAAAAATGAAGTAAATGTTAACTGCACAGTTACTTACATTTCATGTTATTCCTATTGTGCAAGGTGGCAGTTGTTATAAATAAATAAAAATTTCTTAATTTCATCTTCCTAACCACTATTTTCTCTCACACATCTGAAACTACAGATAGTTAACAACTAGTAATGTACTAACTGTAATACTTGAACCTGCAATATACTTGTATGTGTGAAGTCTGGCCACCATTATGCTTGTGTGTCGCACTTAAAATGCTCTTATTCTTATATGTGGTGCAGAAGGAAAGAAGCTTTCGATAGATCACCTGAGCAATGACACAACAAGGCAGTTCTTCATCATTCACCTCCAACAGCCCCTGTCACAAGGAAAGCAATACAGGGTCAGCATGGCTTATGTTGGGAACCTAAATGATGTACTGCAAGGCTTCTACAGGAGTTCTTATACTGTCAACAACCAAACACGGTGAGACTTGTGGTCTTCTGAACTCCGACACTGTTTAATCTTGTAGGTGGACTCCAAACATTTTGGAGAAACATGATGTTTCCACCTTCAGGGTTAGAGCATGTACATTGAGAAGGAATTGGTTGGTTTATACCATGCATGTGCAGGTTTCAAGGAAGTTATTTACTGAGATTAATGAGAAGGGTAGATGAGACAGAACCTGGTCTAGGCCAGTAGGGTTTGTGAATAAATAAATGGCCACCATAAATGCCACAACATTACTATTTACAGGAAGGAAATGGAATTGTGAGAAATATGACCTTCTCAGTGTTTTTACAGACGGGGAAGTAGGGACTGAGAAAAGATCCCGTTTTTTAGAGCCCAGTCAAAGAAGCATAATCTCAGTCCCTGTCCATGGAGAGAACTTCCTTCTTCAGAAATGGATGGAGATCAACATCTCCCTTTCCCGTGGATCTGAGTGGGGTGGGACTAATTCCCCTGTACTGCGGCCACTTCTGGCCTATTGTACCAGCCCCAGATGATAGGGGAGGGTGATTGTGGAGCAATTGGTGGAATGAAGATTGACAGGGGAACCGAAGTACTTTGAGAAAACCTTCCCCAGCGCCACTTTGTCCACCAAAAATCCCACGTGACCAGAACCGGGATCGAACCCGGGTCGCCGCGGTGGGAAGCCAGCGACTAACCGCTTGAGCTATGGCGCGGCCCCTTGATCTGAGTGATAACTTTCTTTACAGTCTGTTTATGTAATGTGATGATTACTCATTTCTCCCGGAAAACGGACACAGCATACGTATTTCCCCTGTACCCACCTTCAAGACTTCATGGTGTGTCATCACTAGGGACCGGATTTATATGCCCTAATAATCCCTTAAATATGTATGCATTTATGCATGAAAAACTTCCGAAATATGCACTGAAATATGCACATAAAAACTTATACCAAATATTAAAATTGGTTTTACATTATTTTAAGACAAAAAGTCAATACTTAAGTCCATTTTATGAATGATTCACCTGCAACCAAAAGCTATACTTAAATGCAAATCATGCAACAAAGCCAACATATTTCATTACAAATTTAGAAAACCAATGGTACTCACATTTAGCTCTCCGAACTTTCAACTTCTCTTCTGTTGCAGTTCACAATTACTAAATGTTTTAGGTTTTCCATAGTTAGTCACCCCCTGTTGTCTCGTAAGATGTCCTTATAGCGGGAGAAACTTCTTTCCACTTCACAGGAACTTAGGGGCGCATGTACAAAAGCCGCTGTTAGTGCTGCTCCACTGTTGGTGATTTTTTACTTGGCAGTTCAGCGCGTTTACCTGCTAAAATTTCTTCAATTTCACAAATATGTTCATATCCTGGATTTTTTTAAAGAATGCTGTATACTTTTTCCTTTACTACTTCACCAACTCTTCCAGGAACCGAATTCAATTTGGAAACTGTGGTTTTGAACACACTTAACGGCTGATACAAAGTAGTATTGCTATTGCTTGCCTCCATTGAGGAAATGGCGGGTGGAAGATGAGAGAAGTGAGCAGATATATAGGAAAGATTAGTTTCTAATTCTGCGTTTTTTAGTACATCTTGGGCAATTTGAATTGATGCTGCATTTTGGGGATCAAATGTATTCAAGAAATTCCTGACTGTTTCTAAATGTTCGGTATAATAACTTGCTGCACACAGCCACGTGCCCCAGCGCGTTAAAATTGGTTCTGGCGGAAGTGGAACACTCGGTGCTACTGCTTTAAATGTTTCTTTTCTGTATGGCGCTTTAACAAATACCTTCTTCACAGAAGACACCAACTTGTCAACAAGCGGAAAATTTGAACGAATTAATTTCTGCAACACGGTGCAACCCATGGGCAAGGCAAGTCAAAGTGTCGTATTTGGAAATATAACTCTTAAGAGCAGTACCGGCTTTGATCACATAACTTGCGACATCAGTCACGCGCTCATACTGAATGCCGTTCGGCCATAGTAAATTCATGGAATTGATAAGAAATTCGGAAACTGCGGAGCTATTTATGGTTTCAAATTGCTCTACCGCAAGAAGATATGGGGTAGATTGTTCATTCTTATTAAGGGATCCAACTATACAACTTGCAATAAACCGTCCCTCACAATCATGTGTTTCATCGATTGATACCCACACAAAATTGTCTTCAATCTTACCTCTAATCCTTTCAATTGTAAGATAGTAACACTGCTGCACGTAATTTTTACGCACAGTAGATTCATCCGGCGCTATGCACTGTGAATACTTCTCTATGAAGTTTCTCAGAGTAGGATTGGTTAGTTTCCACATGGGAATATCTGCCGCTAAAAAGGCTTCACATAAATCAAAGGAAAACTGTGAAAAACTATTATTAGAAAATTCACTAAGCAATTTTTGAACAGGAACACTTTTCGTGGATTAATTGTAATATTCTCTTTGTGTATATTAGTGTTCAAATGCTGAAGCACTTGAAATCGTTTTTCACAACCGTTTTCTCACACGTTCGTCAATGAAGAATTTCATTATCCGTACTTATCATCTCTCCTTAGAACGCCCGCTGATACAGCTGTAATTTAGTTTTCTGACTTACTTTCACTTTCGGCATGACTACAGAAAGCTAAACAAACTTAGCTAAGACTAGTCACCACTATGTCAATGGCCCCCAGCTTCAAATGAAGAAGCATGACAAACCTCATGGAGATTTCGGAAATAAATAAGGGAAGGCCCTTATCAGTTGAATAGTATTACGTTGATAGCGGCTACATGTGGACGCTTCCGACTGATCTCTTCGCGGCCACTTTGATGGTACGCGGATGAGGCAAGTTACGAGTAGAGGGATCGGGGAAGTCCCGTCCTGGGTATTGCATCAGAAACATGATTCATGACGAAATGTTACGTCAAATATGCAACATATTCTAATACGGAACAGAAAAATTGTATACACACGACCATGATTGAAAATTTGAACATAAAATTAAAAAAAATATATATGATAAACATTTCAAAAAGGAAACATGCAGTATAAATAGAGATCTTCGAAAATATGATGCTTATTCATAAAACAGGCAAAATATGCATTTATATGCACCATCAAACCATGTCCAAAATTTAAGAAATGAAGTAATTCATACATATATCTAAACAAGCATACTTTCTGGTTGCAAGAAAGAAATATGCATTTGCATTAAAATCCGGTCCCTAGTCATGACTGAAGACCACAACCTGGACAGTCACCACTGTGAAAGTCTCAGTCTTGTAGTTTATATGTGTTTAACACAGCAAATATGTGGCCTTTCTAAATGTCTTTCTATCCATGCCAGAAATGGGTATGAATTGTTAAATTAATTTATTTGTGAGTCTGAGTTTAGGCTGAATGAAGAATGCCTGAACTGACATTCATAAATAAAGCAATTAATAAATCAATAAACTGATATTCCAGTTTTGTTAGAATGTTCTCATCTCCTCCACTGTTTTGTCAAGAATTCATTCCCTTACAAATGTGTCATCAGTAGGGAATATTATATTCTTGAATTTGATGCCATGTATTCTGGTAGAGGTTTACTGACATTTTTGAGGAATGTTGACAAAATTTCTACAGGACTAAATGGTGTCACATCACAGAAGACAGTATTCCTCCTATGCTGGGTTTTATGTTCTCACAGCCGTGGTTATGAAGAGTTCAGTCATCGGGGGAGATAACCGGCTATATGTCAGAAGATAGAACCCTTCTGTATTCTTCCAGCTACTGCACCTCAGATATTCATATTAATGTTATGACTCCACAGTTGATAAAGCATTGTGCCTGTTATCATCGTTATTATCAGCATCAGTGTTGTACTTTCTGGTATTAAGCTTACTGACATCTCTTTAATTTCAGAAGTTCCCTAATTTTTTTTATTTAGGATTCTTTTGCAAACCATGTGAGAAATTATCCTATTTTCCTGTCCTGTTACACAAGTAAAATGAGAGTAATTCCATTTATGTATTGAAGTGCAATTATAGTCTACATTCTTTCCAGATGGATTGCAACAACACAGTTCCAGCCAACAGATGCCCGCAGAGCATTCCCATGTTTTGATGAGCCAGCTCTCAAGGCGAGGTTTAAGATCAGCATTGCCCGCCCCAGTAACATGACTTCTATATCCAACATGCCACAAGAGGGTGCATCTGAACCAGTGTGAGTTGTAGTTGCTATCTTCAGAGTATTCTATGTTAACTTTGGACAGTGTTACATTTTGATAAATATTTACATGATATATTTAGAGTTATTGAACCTACAAGATACTGAGTACAAATGAGTTAATTGAAAAGGCTCATGAGAGGGGAACACATGGGATACCTGGTTACAGATGAGAGGATTAAAGGGCTGAAATGGAGATGCCATCTTCTTGGTTTCAGAATGTTTCATTTTAAGGAAGTCATTTTCAGTGCCTTAAGATGCTGTAACTATCATTCCCCAAAACACAGAATGAATTATGAAACTTGCATTGTATAAAGGTCCTTTTAATGTGTGTTGAACATTCCCTGGGCTTTCCTATGTTGTGTCTGCTTAGTTCTGATAAGCTATCTCCTCTCACAGAGGACTATTAGAGATTATCTTAAGTCAGTATGGAAAATTATGTTTGTTCATTGTTTAGTGGAGTATTTAACAATGTTTTGTCAAGTTACAAACATGAATAACAGACTGAACTAGCTCAGAATTAAGTCTGACAACAAGATTTTGTAATGATTCCAGACTTTCAGATTCCATAACAGGAAATTTTGTAATCAAGTTATTGTCCTACATTGCTTAAGGAAAACTCTGCACAGTGACATGGATGAGAGTGTAGCCTTTTCCCTGAGTGTTGTGACTTCCATGATGTTAATGTGTTACAGAGAAGGCTTACCAGAGTACCTGTGGGACCATTATGGACAATCTGTGCCAATGTCGACATATCTTGTGGCATTTGTTGTGTCAGACTTTGGTCATATATCAGAAGGGAACTTTTCAGTGTGGGCACGTCATGAGGCAATCCAGCAAGCTGAGTACAGTTTGAAAATAGGACCCAAGATCCTACATTATTATGAGAACTATTTTGGTATTCCATTCCCTCTACCCAAGATGGACATGATTGCTCTTCCTGACTTTTCAGCAGGAGCTATGGAGAACTGGGGGCTTATAACATACAGGTAAGAGAACAAAAGCTCTCTTATTAATAGCAAGAAGAGCAGAGTTGGTGATATGATTGAAGTATACATATTTTCCAAGTGTGATCCATGCAATTTTACATACCTCATTGGACCAAATAAATCTGTGTAGAAATAGACTTGTGTTTGGGAGGTTTTGATACTTCTCCGCAGTTCTCCAGGCAAATACATTGATAGTACCCTGATTAAACTTTAACAGTTTCCTTCCAAATCATTTCCAATCCATCATTCATCAGTCATCCTACCATTTGATACTATGTATGTATTCATTTATTTCGTCTCTATAGATCATTGTTACATGATATAGGACAAGTCAGTTACTGTACATTGGCTGATTACAATAAGAGAATAAACTTACAGTACTTACAGTTGTTTACAGTAGATTACAATAGTTAAGATTTCACATAGTGTGAGGTGGAATCCATATTAGGTCCCCTCGGCACGTCGGCTTCCATATGTCCTATTGTGCCTGTACTGGTGATAATGTTTATGGAGAATTTGATGGAATGAGGATTGGCAGGGGAAACCAAAGTACTCAGGGAAACCTGCCCCAGTGACTAACTGCTTAAGCTATGGCGCGGCCTTTGAGATAATACTGGTGAATTTGTTGATACCACTGGTATAACGTTTCACTGTAGACTCTACACTGCAACATCTCGTTACATCTGTTCTCCCTTCTTGGTGCAGCTTCTTGACATCTGCAATCTCTCCAGAATAGCCCATTCAGGTACATCTCCGACTGTGTTATCTTGATTGCTGGAAGAAAGAAAGGAAAACTGTGCAGTAGGGATTGCCAAAACCGATTATTCATGAATTATGTGATTATAATTGATTAGTGTTTGTCTCATACGAGAGAAACTCATTCACTTTATAAATACAATGATCAAGTAGATAAGTTTTCAAAGCGCTTTTGAACTTATACAGTCCCGGTATTTCTTTAATATATCGTGGCAGATGATTTAGCAGTCAGAGTCCTACATTGTTAAAAGTCGTTCTTTAATAGACTTGTCTTACATGGGACGATGTGCAAGTCATCTTTTTCCTTGTGTTGTATGAGTGTAATCCTGAGTTGGTTGTGAATTCATTCAAATTGGATTTTATGTATATTAGAGTTTCGTATATGTACAAAGATGGTATATTACAGTGCTGTAAAATAAAATCATAATTCAAACCATACCTCATTAGTCTTGTTGTATATTTAATGTGATAAAAATCTTTTAAAAGATCACATTTTTTCCTTATCCTCCTGGTGATGGTATTTGATGTTAATGGAACGTGTACTTCATTTAGATCTTCCTGTGTCCAGTGATTGGGTCTAGTTTATTCTAATTGTCCCACATGAGTAAGAACTTTTCCTAATTGGAAATATATCCAGCTTCTGATAAATTATATTTTAAAAGAGTCGCGGTAACTGCTGTTGTCCAGAATCATAATCATGTCTATAATTAGGTTGACCATGTTCTCACTAATCTTGTGTTCTTTTAAGGTAGTGAGAATGTAGTATTAACTTAGAAATTCAAATCAGCACCTGGATTCAGTAGTTACCAGGTTACAGCTACCCTGTACTGTTGTAAAAAGAAAAACATCAATTCATCCAATAGTACTGAGACAGGGAGCTTCATGTCAATATTTTCTCTTCAGTGGATATCTGTCATACCCCACCAAGACTCTTCTCACAACATGTGACAGGGATTTCAGAGCTCTCACAACATGTGACAGGGATTTCAGAGCTCTCACAACATGTGACAGGGATTTCAGAGCTCTCACAACATGTGACAGGGATTTCAGAGCTCTCACAACATGTGACAGGGATTTCAGAGCTCACAAAAACAGACACAGACAGTAGTTAATACCTGGTACTGCAGAATAGTATAGCCAGTATATTTAATTGAATGGGAATAAGTCTATTCAGTACTTCAGATTTTGTTGATTATAGAGAATATTATAGTGTGAACTGAAAAATTTCTGGTGATTGTGACCATATATTTCCTTCAGGAAGAACTTGTTACTGTGACAAGACTTCTACTTCGGTATATAGGGGCCTATATTGATCCCCTAAGAATTAATCTTTAAAACTAATGAAATTCAGTTATAACACTGTCAACAATATTTATGAGAATTCTAATTCATCTCTCAGAAGATTATAAAATTTCAAGCCCATGTCATGCCCCAGGTGTTTAGTTGCCAGCTTCCTATCACTGTGGCCCGTATTTGATCCCATGTTAAGTCACGTGGGATTGTGGTGGACAAAATGGCACTAGGGCAGGTTTTTCCTGAGTACATCTGCTTCCTCTTCCAATTCTCATTCTACCTGTCACTCCATATTCATGAATTACTGTATCATTGACTACATAACCTTGATACTGACAAAGTCATTAAATAATAAAAGAAAAGAAAAGTAACAGTTCAGACCAGTGTACATACTCACACTCAGTGCCAAGACAGTAGAAAGATTCAAACAGATGATGCTAAAACAGTGCTAATATAGAGTTATTTAATTCAGGGAGACAGCGATGTTATACAAACAAGGCGTGTCTACCAACAACAACAAGCAGAGTGTTGCTACAGTTGTGTCACATGAGCTGGCACACCAGTGGTTTGGTAACCTGGTCACGCCTAGTTGGTGGACTGATCTCTGGCTTAATGAAGGATTTGCAAGCTACGTTGAGTACTTGGGTGTCAACGCGGTAAGTGCTTCATTGAAAACTGAGGAAGATCAAAAGATAAGATACCACACACTGAGAACAATCAGTCTACAGTCTGTTCTTTCATAACATTTGTTGCAAGTTTTTCAAATGTAGTAACTGGAGATTTGAGGTCAGAAAAAGTATTTCTCTTCTATACCAATTAGTCATGATGCATTTCTAAAGTAACATTGTAACATGTATGTTAAAACAGTTTTAAGTGTTGCTAAATAAGGAAAAGACTTTTCTGTGTATCATACAGAGACACAATACAGGGTAATGAAGATAAATAAAAAAGTACTTGTATACTTACTGTGTGGATATGTTGAAACACTCATGTCTGTTACCCCAGCTCACATTTCATTTTAATATTATTAACAAGAAGCAGGTCTGTTTTTTAAAAACACTGTGTAATGGATTGAATAATTAGATGGGAGCTCCAGTTTACATTAAATGTATTACAAACTGACTTCTGTCACATGTTAAAGTATATAAATATTATCAACTCTCAAGCTTCCCCTCTTTATGTAGGTGGAGCCATCATGGAAAATACTGGAACAGTTTGTCATCTTTGACCTTCAGAATGTGTTTGCTTTGGATGCTCTTGAGTCCTCACATCAGATCTCAATTGAAGTTGGTCATCCTGATGAGATTAATGAAATATTTGACAGGATCTCTTACGGAAAAGGTAACATATCATCTGACAAATGAAGCAAGATATAAATCTGGTTTGAAAAACCGTGGAATATTCTAGGGTTTTGAAAATATAGATGATCTGGAAGTTTTGTTTAGAGAGAGAAATTCTGTTTTTCATTAAAGTTTATGTAGAGTTTATGTAGTTGCACTATTTAAAATTAATTTCTTTGATTAATTTTGAATCCACCTGTATGTAACTGGGGATAGTAAGCACACCAAGGATAGCACATATAAGCAGCTGTAGGGAACTGTGTATTCATCATTCATTCATCATCATCAGTAATCTGTCAAACGACAGGTCCACAGTCCCTTCCAAAACAGTTCCTCCACTTAATGCGATCTCAAGCTTTCTCCTTCAAATAAAAATATCCTCTTCTGTCCCCAAGGTCATCCAGCATCTTCTTACGTCTTCTTCCTCATCTTCTGGTCATTTCTAGCTGCCCCTCCAGTTTGTTTTGTCTCCAGAGGAAACATCCCGCATACATGGTATTTATCTTTTTGGAAAGAGACTATCCAGGAAAAGTGATAATATGGTAGTTTTCCCATTTGCTTTCCACATCGCAGTACAACAGCCGTTCAAACCACTCTGGTCACGCCTGTTGTGCTACGAACTTGAACCATCTCGAGCATCATTTGCTCTGTGCTTCAAGTTGCTGCTGATGACGCTGCTTCTGGCATCAGTTTTTGGTTTTTGATGTCTCTCTTTGATGCCTACCCTTTGACCTGTCCAGCAAGGGAGGCCCTGCCAGTAGCTACGCTACCGCTGTTATAGCTCTCAGGTTCTTGGCATACTCAAACCCCCTCACCACGATAAGGTGGAGACACCAAGGGGGTGTGTGTGTTATGTACTAAGAATTCTAAAGAATTTATGGTTTCTAGGTGCTTCAATCATTCGCATGATGGATCATTTTCTCACCACTGAAGTGTTCAAGAAAGGAGTCACCAAGTATCTTAATAGCAGGTAAGTGAAGTGAACACCAATTTCACATGATGTATTTCTGTTTTACTGTTATGTTTCTTCTTTTTTTCTCTTTCCTGTGAGAAATAATTATCATTTTCCATAAGGTTTTAATCTTTGAAAGGCAAATAGTCTTAATGTGATACTAATTTATTAGAACCAAATAAGAAAAGGTACATTGGACTATGAGTTAATATAATAACATATTTCATATAATTTGTTTATTTTGTTCTTCTTCAAGTAAGCCTTCAGAATTTCTTACTGGAAAGTCTAAAGATAAAAATGAGATGCCTGTTAGGATAACCAGTTATTCATCTTAGATGCAAATGAAAATATGTCACATACATTAGACAGCTGACTGTTTATTATATCAAAACCAAATAATAATTTAAGTGTATTTTATTTTGCCAGAACTTCTGTTCATCCAAACCCCTACAATGATCACATTAAATCCAGACCTTTTCTCTTGAATTTATAGTCTTTTTCATTGACATTTCTCAAATATGAATGAGCTATTTTTTCTTCCAGAAAATACCAGAGCTCAACACAGAATGACCTGTGGGAAGCACTTACATCCCAAGCTCATGCTGATAATGCTTTAGACCCAAATATGTCTGTAAAAGAAATCATGGATACATGGACACTCCAAACAGGTTTTCCACTGATTATGGTAACAAGGGACTATACTACAGGAACTGTACATCTTAAACAGGTAAGCTTACATTCTCTGAATGCAATGTAATGCACTGTATATGACATGTTTTTAAATAATGAAGACTGTAAACTTAAATTCTGAAGAGTTCTGGCAATGGTGTATGACACTCAGAATTACAGGGTTCTTAGACTTTGTCCATTGTTTGGTATTCTAAAAACTAGATAATACATTTCAGAAACTGGATATGTTTCTGTTATCATGTCAGGAGGGAGACAGCCTACTATTTTGGGTCCCTAAGAAGTGACTGAGGTTAGTTCTTTACAAGGGACCAAACAAAGTATGTGTCCCACACCCCTCACATGAAGACGGAAATGGGCAGTTTCCAAAACGTTGTGTTCTCTAGTTTTTAGAATACCAGATGATGGACACTGTCCAAAAACCTGGCAATTCTGACTGTAAACTTCATATATAAAATCTTAACTTCAAGGGACTGTGTAAGTATAGCAGAGCAATAGTGTACTGCTGGCCTTATAACCATCACAGTTCTTGTTTTCAAGAGTCAGTGGGGCTCATGATCATATTTGAATGTATAAAGAACGATTCATGTTTGATAATGTCCTTGCCTACCATGATCAGATATGACCAGTACTTAGAGGGTGATTTTCTTTTGCATTTAATTCATATACAATATGTGTATATCACATGATACTACCATGCTAAATATCACATTCTAAACCAGTGTTTCCTGATGTTATACTTACAGTACAGTTTGTTGCACTTTTGAAATTTGAGGCACACTGAGGTGGAGGTTGGGGTCCTTAGGGAGGTGAACAATCCTCATGTCAGACAAGCAAGATGTTGGGGCGGGGGTTCTACTCCAAGGAAATTTTGAAAAAACACAGATGTTTATCAAGCAATTTGAGCATAAAAACACCACATTTGAAATGGAATATCTAGACTAAATTTATTGTTATTACAACAATAAAAGCTTAGCAGTAAAATCAAAATACGTAAATAAACTTTGTGCTATAATTGTGCTGTTCTCCAATGACACTCACAGCAAGGATCATTGCTTTAAAGAAGTCCTGCTTTGTGTTGGCCACAGAGTTCTCACTTGTGTTCCTCAAGTATTAACCCTCTGTCAAATTTCATCTGGTTCTGCTTCCACCTGTTTGGTTGGTCAGAAGCTGCCACTGGTAGCTACTGACGTAAACTCTAAAATACAACTGCCAACATTTTGATGGCCTGTGGCTGACCTTTCTTTATAATCATCATACCCCATTTGAACTCATGTAAGTTTAAATATATTTCTATTGCAGGAACGTTTTCTTCTCCGCCGAAAAGCTGAGAACAGCAGTTTAACAACAGCACACACAAGCACGACTACATCTGCACCAGGAACTATGGGATTAGGCCTATGGTGGATCCCTATTACATACACATCACTTGAAAATCCAGACTTTGATAATACCCAGCCATCATTCTGGATGAAAGCAACTCCAGAACTCACCTTGCCCCCTGTATCAGCTGGCCCTGATCAGTGGGTCATCTTCAACATCCAGGAAACAGGTTGACTATACTAACACATATATGGGCAGGGGGCCAATCAGGCATTTTCCCGCTCTGAATATTTTTAAAAGAAATCAAATTTGAAAAATGAATGTAAAAAGGTAAAGCTATCCTTGAAATAGATTGTTGAGGCCCATGGGGTTTTGAGATGAAGAGGCTTCCACATTTTTTCCTACAGTGGCGGTGAGGTTATCAGTCTTATGAGCTGGCCGCCCTTTGCCCCCCAGAAAGATTCCTGGTACTCATTTCTGTTAGAGGCTGAGTCAACCCCAGGGTCATAGTGCTGCTGGAAAGACTAGGTCAATTGAAGAATCCAGCAATATCGGGAATCAAAATGACTACCTTCGAATTTGTACCATAGTGCCCTGGTGGCACTATGAACACAAACATTATTCTCATGCATAATCAATGTGATGTAGATTTGCAGGGGAGTGAAAGTATAGCTCATAACATAGACATCAGACAGAGGTGAATGGGCAGCTTCATACATACACCATTTTACCGCTGAAGAAACAGCCTCAGTGTCAATTGTAGGACAGGCTGGGTGGGCCCCATATCAAACATATAGCAAAGACTAAAATGTATTTATATTGTGTGTACAGCAGTAATTTCCATTATCAGCAGTTCATTGCCCCTAAAAGGAAATGAATTCCCATGGCAATGAGAGATTTCGTTGCATAGCAGCAGGCGAAATTAACCCTTTGACAAGGTGTTCCCTATTCAGCCCGAGTGCAAAATATAACAGTTTGTGTCAGACAAGAGACCAGTCACTATTAGCTTCAACAGTTGACCCCTGAGCAGAGCAGAAGACACTTCACCGAGATTAGCAGTGCATGTATAACATTGAAGAGGAAATGTCCAAAGACGTTATAAATGCAAATAATTGTATTTGTGAGCGTAAAGAGTAATCATCAAATAAATAGTCATCCAAATTCGAGACCCATGTAAATCTTGTCTCGTTGCCTAGGAAACATGGGACAATATCTGTGTCCTGCAGAACCTTATTCAGTTCCATAAATCTCTGAAGTTTCCTTTCAAATACTATAGTTTATAACTTAATAATTCTTATCTGTTGGTGGGTAAATGAGAGAGACAACAGTATAAAACTGAAGCTGTCACAGATATTAATAATGAACACAATAGTCTCTAACCAGTTATGCTGTTTAGAAAACATATGTATTTTTTTTTTAAAGGCTTCTACAGAGTTAACTATGACCCAACAAACTGGGGGCTTCTCATAGAATATTTGATGGACAGAGACCACTTCTCTCAGATTGGAATCATCAACAGGGCACAGCTATTAGATGACTCACTAAACTTGGCTCGTGCTGGAATTCTGGATTATGGTACAGCTCTGAATGTGACTCGCTACTTGGCTAATGAATTGGAGTATCTTCCATGGAAGGCAGCTCTTAATGCCCTTGGGTACATTGAAAGCATGCTTGTTAAGACAGGCAATTATGATAAGTTCAAGGTTTGTATGTTTAACATGTGACGTTATTTGTAGAGATACAAGATTTCAACAAATACAGCAAGCTACAAAATGAAGCGTTGAGCCCAGAAATCTTACATTGTAACTATTTGTATTTTGTTTATAACGTCACTTTCAGGCTACTCAAATAAAAGTGAGTAGATTCTGCTATGGTTAAACAAGTAATTTGAAAATGAATACACTCTGTTTTCTGAAAGGTTCTGACAATGGTATATGACACTCAGGATTACTGTATTTTTGGTCTTTGTCTGTCATCTTAACATTTTGGAAAATGGACCACTGGATTGAGGTTAGCACCATCCTCACCTGAGGATTGAAACAGATAGTTTCTGAAATGTTGTGTTCTTTAGAACACTGGATGTTAGACAAAGTTCAAAACCCATTACATGCCATTCGTTTCAGGTATATATGCTTGGTCTATTGGAGAACCTGTACAAGCACACAGGTTTCACTGACAATCCAAATGACCCTCAGTTGACTGTATACAAGCGGGTCAACATCCTCAACTGGGCATGCAGTCTTGGTCATGAGGACTGTGTGCGTAACAGTGTACTACAGTTCCAGAACTGGAGGAGCTCACCTGATCCCGATCGTAACAATCCGTAAGTTTCTTGCTAGATATTCTATGATAACATGCAGAAGTTAACAAACGTTGGCTTGGTTCAACAAGTCAGACAAATAGTTACTATAGGATTCTGTTGATGGTGTATAACACACAGAGATATTGAGTTTTTGCACTTTATCCATCGTCCTGGTTTTAAGATAACTAAGAAAAACATGACGTTTTGGAAACTGGATCTGTTTCCGCACTCAGGTGAGGGGAAACACCTATTCTGTTGGGTCCCTTGGTCAAATGATTGAGGCTAGCTCTTTCTAAGGGACCCAACAGAATAGGTGTTTTCCCTCACCTGAGGATAGAAACAGATCCAGTTTCCGAAACGTCGTTTTTTTCTTAGTTATCTTAAAACAAGGATGATGGATAAAGTGCGAAAACCCAAGTCAGACAAATGTTCTGACTCCCAGATATTTCTCAACAAGAAGAACCATTCATATTGCTCTACACCAGCCTACTGGCTGTCACATGACATACACTATATCATCACCCATATCACATAATATGTATACATGGTATTATTTGATATTAAATCTTACTGTTTGATATATGTGGGGAGATAAAGAGAGTACGAGGAAATATTATTAAATTAATACAGAGATAATTTCCACTCATCTGCCTTTATTTTTCACTCATTGTAGCTTAGCAGACAAGTAAGATTTTCAGGCCCTGTTAGTTTGAATGCACAGTTGAACCCTGTATTGAAAGCTTACTGCTGCTTTGGAGGATACCTTAACATTAGATGAACTGCCAGTGATTGATTATAGTTATTTCTTCTGCTCTAGTCTGTGAAATCCTGTTCCCAGATCATAAATAAAATACTGGTAAATTCAAGTTACTATGATTTCATCAAACAATGTTGCCTTTACATTAAGAGTTCTCCAAATCTTACAATTATTTGGCATCACTACAATATCTAAATTAAATAAGTATGAATAGGGAATATATGTATTGAGGTTTTCACAGCTGTGACTGTTTGGATTGTTATCTTCTGGGTTGCAGTACTGTGTAGTCTTGTAGGCAGCTACTGATATTTAGTAGGAACATGCTGCAATCATCTTCAGTGTACAAGTATCTGTGTATAGGTATTGAATTTACAGTATCTGGTACAGATGATAAAGCAGCTTTCTGAATGTCAACACAATGTAATGCTTTATGTTCTAGTAAAAAAAGTAAAGCTATCCCTGTACCAGGCCGTGAAGGCCTGTAAGGTTGTGAGACGTTGAGAGTCCCACACTATCTAGACAATCGGCTCAAACATGGCGGTAAGGTTGTCAGCCTTATGCACCGGCCACGCTTTCGTCCCCAGGAAAATTATTTAATTAATTCCTGGTACTCATTTCTGTTTGTAAGGTTGTGAGACGTTGAGAGTCCCACACTATCTAGACAATCTGCTCAAACATGGCAGTAAGGTTGTCAGCCTTATGCGCCGGCCACGCTTTCCTCCCCAGGAAAATTATTTAATTAATTCCTGGTACTCATTTCTGTTACGAGCCTGAGTAAACCCCAGGGCCTAGTGCGGCTGGAAGGATTAGGTCAACTGAAAAAAATTCGATGACCTCATTGGGACTTGAACTCACGACCTTCCGGCTTGTAGCATAGCCCCTTAACCAACTACGCTACCACGTTCTAGTGAACTTGTCAAATATTTTAAAATGATATAGAATGCCAATTTTAGATTTGTAACTTATTTTTCTTTTTAAACAGCATATCTGCCAACCTCAAGAATGTTGTGTACTGCACTGCAATCCGTGTGGGTGGGCAGGAAGAATGGGACTTTGCCTGGCAGAGGTACCGCAAGACAAATGTAGGATCTGAGAAAGACATACTTTTGGGAGCGCTTGGCTGCAGTCGCGAGATCTGGATTTTGAGCAGGTATTGCCCTTTGCATTTATTAAGATTCAATATGGTGACCAAGAATTTTTGCATACTGAGAATACAAAAAGGTAATTCCAGTCAATATTTCAGGGAGTGTCATGCAATATATTTAAAACTAATAAAACAAACTCCACAGTGTAGACCAATAGTCTCTCAGCAAGTCAAGAAATTCCCTATTTCTTATGGGACTTGAAGGTTATTTCCTCATTCATAGTAGGCCAATCCTGAATCAACTGAATTCAGTTCACTCCCTCTCACCCTACTTCATGAAGATCAATTTTAATATTGTGACATGTTGCGCAAAGGAGAACCCCCCCCCACCAGCAGTGACGCGGCG